GTTACCTAGTCATTTCAATGGAACATTGGTAAGTTGATTAAGATGATGATATTAATAATGATGTTGATTCAAAGTCATCTAATGTGTTACAGGCAATATGTTATGGATATTTTACAACTTTAAATTATTATTACTAACCGCAACTGAGGAGTATATGAAGACTCGTCTCCCTGATATGATAATTATTCTTCTCTGCTGTGTCTCTGTGAATAATTGTCACATCAGGGAGAAAAATGTTCATATACCCCCAAAGCCTACAGTTAATCACTGTTTTGTAATCTTGAATTTGGGAGTTTACTTGTCAAAATTGTGTGGTGATTTGAATGTCTGTGGCAAGCCCTACGCATGGCACTCAACAATCTGTTACAACAGTGTGAGTGTGTACTGTACAATGAGACATTTATCATACTTTCAACTTTTATTGACAAAAATTTGTTGGATGTCATATACTCGTCTGCCAGCCCTGGTCGGCTGCCGCCCTGGGTGCATGTTTGTTTACCTATTTAAATTGTGCACTTTATTTGCGTTGTCTTACCAATGATTGGAGTTGACACTATCTTATTAACTGCTTGCTTGCGCCACACAAGTCAAATATCGATGTGGTTTTCGGCATTTTTATTGACAATATTGTTCTGATTTTCGCGGTAATTGAATTTAACAAACTTGTTCGTACTCAGACATTCAGACATATTTAAATTTGCTCCAAATTTGGCAACAAGCATGATATGTTTGTGTGGTTAATCCTACATGCTCACACCATTGGAACGGAACGTCACATTATTTGCATACCCTGAGGGGTATATTGTGATTTATTTCATTCCATGTGACCAGCTCAGATTGGTAAAAACCTTTATCCTGCCAGCCATATGTACTTTTACAATGACTTGACCAGGGTTATACATGTATACATTTGACTTTAATTTGTCAGCATGTTTTATAGTTCTTTTCATCTTGGAACATGAAAATAACAATTCAAGTTACATGTACAATCTTTGTTTGTGTACTGTATACACAGGATGCATTCATAAAGATTGGACGCAATGAAGGCGTGACATCTCTATGGAGTGGATTGCCACCAACGCTGTGAGTACCCGCACTATATACACCAATACTAGGGATTCTCTTCAATGCAGCTCGAAATCTATGTAAAAACTGCATTTTTGGAATTTTTCCAGTTAACCATTGAAGCCCATTTTAAAGGGCAGTAGTCGTCGCGCCACACATGCGCGAGATATATGGGTCTCATGTATACAAAGATTGCGACTTTGACTGTTACGCAGATCAACGAGTACTGACACGTTACCAAGCTCTATTTAGGTATTTTTCGGTGATGGGAATGTATTCAAGGAGTAACCAGCAGTAATTAGTGCCAGTCGCACCTGGGTCAAACCTCGTATTTGTAATTTGCATTAGAAGAGCGCATTGGAATGTGGGAAAATCAATGTTTATCAAAACAAAAGTTGCACATACGCAGCATGACGACTGCCGCCCTTTAAACTGCCTCACATTGCTCACCATTTAGTCAGTATCCATTTCAATGTTTAAATGACTATCTTGCCAATAATTCGTCATGATCTCTGTTGGCCATTTCTGACACTCAGTTA